TCTAGGGTGGAGTTCTTATGGTGAAGATGACTGATGAAGGTAAATATATATAAACAAGGAGTAGAACGTAACAGCTTTACTCTAGGGTGGAGTTCTTATGGTGAAGATGACTGATGAAGGTAAATATATATAAACAAGGAGTAGAACGTAACAGCTTTACTCTAGGGTGGAGTTCTTATGGTGAAGATGACTGATGAAGGTAAATATATATAAACAAGGAGTAGAACGTAACAGCTTTAATCTAGGGTGGAGTTCTTATGGTGAAGATGACTGATGAAGGTAAGTATATATAAACAAGGAGTAGAACGTAACAGCTTTACTCTAGGGTGGAGTTCTTATGGTGAAGATGACTGATGAAAGTAAGTATACAGAACAACAAGAATGTAAGGTTCAAAGATAGTAGTGTTATATCTAACACATTACTTGTAACACCGTTTAAAGATAGTAGTGTTATATCTAACACATTGTTTGTAACACCATTTAAAGATAGTAGTTATATCTAAGACATTGTTTGTAACACCGTTTAAAGATATTAGTTATATCTAAGACATTAGTTGCAACACCGTTTAAAGAAAATGGTGTTATGTTTAACACATTGTTTGTAACACCGTTTAAAGATAATAGTGTTATATCTAACACATTATCTGTAACACCGTTTAAAGATAGTGGTGTTATATCTAACATATTACTTGTAACACCGTTTAAAGATATTGTTGTATATCTAACACTTTTTGTATCTCCGTAAACACTTTGTGATATGACACTAGATTACTGCCTGAATATAGCTTCTAAACTATACAGTGAACCATGGAATCAAATATCTCACGAGGGACGGAGAGGAGTTTTTCCAGGAAAAAGACATCATAGTTCGGTCATTCATAATTGTGATTATGTATCTCCAGTTTAGAAGTAAGTATTACTTACTAATTCACTATACCTTATCTAATTCTGTAATATTATCTAAAACATAAAACTTTTCTTTACAATTGGTGTTATAAACAATGTGTTAGATATAACACCACTATCTTTAGACAGTGTTATAAACAATGTGTTAGATATAACACCACTATCTTTAGACAGTGTTACAAACAATGTGTTAGGCTTAACATCACTATCGTTAAACGATGTTGCAAAGTATTAGATATATCACAACTATCATCAAACGATGTGACAAATATGTGTTAATTATAGCAATACCGTTTTTAGGGTTTCACAACAACACTAATCTATTCACGATAGGTCACGTAACACATTCCTCGAGGATTCACATCCCTGAACATATTTAGTGAGTTGTTTACTTTCACAGTGTTTTTATGAATATACAGTGCTGTTTTTGTGGCCGATTAATACAAGTATTATTTCCTGCTTTTGTTAATCAAAATAAGTTTATCCGAATGCTTTTCTCTAACTGTAATTAACAATTTATTGCGCTGTGTCTTAATAATGTTAGTAAGGTGTATCTATATAAATATAGTAGTACTGTCTGTTGTCTATCAATGTAACTACTTCGCAGGGTGTGGATGGATCTTCACCAAAACTGGTATGGACGTTTATTAGGTCCATACAAAGATACATGTAAATTTGCGGTTTTTATGGGCGTTTTTTTTTTTACCATTACTTCACCCCCTGTAGATGGATCGTCGCCAGATTTAGAATGAAGGTTTGTTGGCTCCATGCTGAGATACATGGAAACTTGCTATTTCACATTTATGTTTTGCAATATATATAGATTTTTTTTTGCGTTTTTTTTATTTTTTTGTACAATTGCATATAAGGGAAGCAACTTTTGATGTCCTAAGATAACCTTACAGTAATCATGAATTTACATAACTTCCGTCCAGGGGAAGGTTACTCCAGCTAGTACCTATTTAAATATAATAGTATTGTCTATTGTATGTTCATGTAATTACTTCGCAGGGTGTGGATGGAATTTCACCGAAATTTGGATTATGAATTTAGTATATTTCTAAAATATGATGTAATATTATTACCCTAACATTTTCTATAGAGTTGCAGTAATAGATTCACGCGAAGGAATATAAACACACTTATAACGCAATACATATGAAGTATGATTTTAAAAATAACTGTGATGTCTGTTGTACTAGAAGTATTTTATGCTAAACGTTTCAACGAGAAGAAATCATGAACACCATTTTATGGTAAACGTTTCGGCGAGAAGAGATCGCGAATACACTTTTATACTAAACGTTTCGGTAAGAGGAGATCATTAACACTTTCCTGAGAGATCCGGTTCATTATGAACCTGATTTAGGTCGTTCCCCTTTTAAAACGAAATGTTTATAACTAAACATTTATAACTAAATACATGATACAACTTACTCAATGACATCTCAGTTACAATCAGTAGAATTCATTTCATGAATTTGATTCTACAAATTATTTTAGTTTATACACATGTGAATTTAGTAAAAAACGTTACAGAAGGCTGACCAAGTGTCAGTCATGACCGTTGACGTGAAACCTGCCCAAGTGTCAGTCATGACCATTGACTTGAAAGCTGATCAAATGTCAGTCATGACCGTTGACGTGAAACCTGCCCAAGTGTCAGTCATGACCATTGACTTGAAAGCTGATCAAATGTCAGTCATGACCATAGACTTGAAAGCTGCCCAAGTGTCAGTCATGACCGTAGACTTGAAACCTGACCAAGTGTCAGTCATGACTGTTGACTTGAAAGCTGCCCAAGTGTCAGTCATGACCGTTGACTTGAAAGCTGCCCAAGTGTCAGTCATGACCGCCGACTTGAAAGCTGTCCAATTGTCAGTCATGACCGCCGACTTGAAAGCTGCCCAAGTGTCAGTCATGACCGCCGACTTGAAAGCTGCCCAAGTGTC